CATTACTTGCTTTCTCTGGGAATTGAACCCATGACCTTGTGGTTGCCAGTGTCATGTGCTACTGTTTCACTACAGGAAGGCAAATGAAATAATACAAACTAGAAACAGAACGAACAAATGAAAGAACGAACGAATGGAAAAACAATTGAGAGAATGAATTGACTAGCAAAAACATACATAAACAAACAAACAAGTCAACAGAAATTAAGTAACAAACCGGAATAAGCATAAGTTCAGTGCTCATTGCCAACAACATAACTCTGAAATTCAAGTTAAGACATTTCAACAGACATAAGGAGGAAGTAGATGAGTAGATAAAGTTAAAGACTGGAATCCACAATCATCACACTGAACAAACCAGACCTTGTACACACTGTTCAATCCTTGTCAGCATCAACCACACCCTACATATACAACAGAACACATGCATTGCACACTCTGTAGTAGCCATGTGCCACTAGCTGAATGACTGTAGAGTGCAGCTTCACACTTGCTGCTCAAAAAAAATTATAAAATAAAAAAAACACAGGTGTCTCGAACAGCACAAATGCCACAAAGTCGACAAAGCAAACAGGAAACGTGCAGCAAAAACATCTTCAATGAATGCGGCTGCACGCTGGCTTCCTCCATAAAGATCACAGCAGTAAAACTCAAGCATGCTTTATATGAAATGAAACAGAAACCCAATAAATACTAATCTGAATACAAGCTATTCATCAATACTGCAGTCTTTTTCATAACCCTTCCCCAAAACCACACAATTAGACTATTATTATTAATAATTACTATTATTCTGCCACATATGCTCTGAATACTTGAATGCTTGTGGGATCCGTGCGTCACAGGACCATACGTCCAGCCGGTTAATCTCCACGCAGCTGGTGCAAGTTAGCCAAATCCTTGACCTGGTGACCACACTCGCCATGTCTGCCCCAACACAAATCTGAAGCCAGACAGACGCCACGGCTCACTGAGACAGATGAGTGGCATGCTGAGTTACATGCAAATGGATGCATCTAAACATTCACTTCATAGGAGTTGCATTGGTTGCATGTGATCAATTACAGGTTATGCTAACACCAATTATTGTTGTTGCACCTGATGTTAATATGTGCATTACCAGCAAAAACTGCTGCAAGCAGTCAGAAATCAAACACTAAGATTTACTGTCAAGTTCAACAATACTGTACGAAATTATTTGCAGGAGACTGCAGGGCTACATCATAGAATCTAGGTTTTTTTTTTACTGTGAGTGATTTTTTTCATGTTGGTTCCAGTGTCACAGTGTGTTTCATATGTTGTAATTCTATACCATTTATTGACTACAGTTTCTGATAGTCTATTATATATTATTAATCAATCAATTTTGATGAAGACCACATATTGTAGTTTTACAATTTAACAATACCTTGGAAATTCTTATAAAGAAACAGAAAGTTTAATTAACCAAAAAGTAGACCTGGATAACAAAATAAACAGATAAGTGCAAAATCAAATCTAAGTGATTTTACATATTTATATGGGAACTCTAAAACTTTTTTTTTTTTAATCAAATGAAAACAACAAAATATAAAAGAGTGAAGTACAGAACTTCCATTTATTATTAAGGCAGTTGGATACCGCATTGTGTGTTCATTTATATATTTATTTTAATATATAACATTTAGGTTGTTTAATAGCAGGTTAACATTGTGACAACTTACCCCCATATAGTATGATGCCGTGAAATAATCTTATTTAATATTATCTTTACTAAAATAATATTAATTTTAAAATATTTTAAATAGAATTTATACAATTAATATGAATAATATCGCCGTTAATATTATTTACGAGAAAACAGTAACAAATATTTAACTGGCTGGTTCCAGTAATCTCACAATTACCATAAGGCTAGTTCAGTGACATTTTAGTATCTAGTAAAAGGTTCAGGAGATAACTAATGAAAAGCAGTAACATACATACTTGTGCCCTACCTGTAAAACTTTTCATTTACTTCATGAGAGACTATTCAACATATGTGTAGATGATAATGCAGATAACAGCTCAAAACCACAGCAATGCACTGCACAGTCAAATTATACTTTACAGCTCTGAACACGTCCAAATCGTTAATATCAACACATAATGGACACAGCAACAACATCTATGCAAATCAGCAGAAGTTGTGAAGCTAATCCACCTGCAGCCCTTGTCTAAATGCGATATAAACCCATAAACAAAACTTTGCACATCAATCTGATCCACAGCTTCAAACATGCCTATGATGGGCAAAACCGCTCCCTGGGTAGGTTGCTCACTTGGTTTGAGACACAGCTCAGTATTTTTGCGCAAGCACAGGCCCAGTGTGATGGACACCAATAAGTCAGGCCTCTAGCCACTTCTTTTCTTTATCTTTAAATGAAGGCGGTACAAACCACAAAGGATGCGAGGTCCCTTTTCCCCATTAGTATTTCTGCAGAATCACACTTTGTGCGTAAATGCATTTGTGGTTTATGCATATGATGTGATAGGCCTCTGAATGCACTTTACAACACTGAGCTTCACAACAAGAACCAACAGAAGAGAAGTAAACAACATCACACCTTTTTTGGGTCTCCTTCGGCCTTTTCTAGAGAACAGCGGTGTAAGTCCTGGAATATGATGTTTCGGTGTGTTGTTTCTTAGCCTGTTTTGTGCGGACAACCGTGTGTGTGTGCGTGTATTCAGGCTACAAGCACCACTGCACGAACAGTAGCGAGGACTTCCGCAAACCTGCAGCGAGGAGAATTACAAAATAAAAGCCCCCGACGCTATCAGAGGTCACCGTGTACAGACAACGTTTCAATACAAAATTCTTTATTCACAAATGTAAATGGGCATCACAAAAACACATTCACTTATTTTAAAACAGAAATAGGTCACTGCCTTCATAATAACAACAACACGAAATAACAAAGCGAAAAGTAGGCCTACTGTAAATTACTCTAAAGACATATCATTTCATTGATGATTCACAATGCACAGCATGTTGGTCTTATTGCTGTTTGCTTATCAGGATGCCTATTTGTACATTTTCTTCTATTAATATTCTATGTTTATCTCAGTATTTGATTTCCTCTGATTGATATTTTCATTGCTGCATTTGATGATTATATTCTCATTGTTCAAATTGTTGCAATGAGAAATTATTTTTAAAAAGTTTAAATATTTACAGTATTTTTTAATGGAGCAAAATATTGTTAAAAACGAATTCTTAAAAAAAAAAAAAATGGCTTACATACATTGAAATTTTATGGTTTACATACTTTATGAAGAAGAGAACGCAATAAATTTAAGTAAAAATAAATACTGAAACAGGCCCATGATTCTGATTGCTCTAAATATTTATGGGAACTTTAAACTGCGACATTTTATGAAATTAAAATATACCAATAAAACACAGTGAAGTACAAAATAATCTACATTTATTAAGGGAGTATATTGAGATGTGTTTTGATTTTTAATCGTAATCCAAAAGAGTTGATAGTAGATAAGTAGAGTTAATTTGCTCTAATCTTGTCCGGGCACACTTAGTCATCCAATTTGCTAAATAAACTGCAAAACAATTAGCAAAAATAAATAAATAAATTGTAAATTACTAAAATAAACATAATTTATTTAAAATATTTCTTTTATATTATTCTGTCTTCTATAGTTAGTTTTATTTAAGATTATTTTATTATAACTAAATATAAATAATTTTCATTTATTGAACATTTATTGTGACGCCCCTGGAAGTATGCTGAGGCCCCCTGGTGGGCCCCTGGTTGAGAACCTCTGCTCATTTCAAAGCAAAGTGGTATAGGCTCTGCCGCCCTCTAATGGTTAAATATTATACTTAAACAAACGACCGGTAGAGATCCAAGATAAGCCTACTGTATTTGTTCTAGACAAAATGAAGAAGAGGATGTTGTTGTTATGTCATGAAGCATTAATAAAAATATTGTGCGTAAACAATAACCCCTGTTGTGAGAAAACCTTTTTTTATTTGTGGGAAATTTATTGCTAAAATTACAAAAGCACACAAATTATGATATTAAACTGCATTAGACTATATTTTGACTACTTAGCTTATCTCTCAACACTCAAATGTTTGTTAAAGGGTTGTACTTGTAACTATACCTCTCCAAAACAGCAAACGCCATAGATGAATTAAAAAGTAGCTAATTTAATAATTAGTTTGATGAGGCCGCTGATCAACATTTTCTGACGGTTATGATAGGCCTACACTTATGTACACTATTTCTTGAAAAAGAAAGTCTTTATTTTTTAAGAGTTTAGGTCAGATTTTTTGTCACCACAGTAAATTCACTCATCAAAAACCTTTATTTTTTTGTTTTTAAAAAATAGGTTCAACAGTGTATCCAAACTATATATTCTTAAAACAGTTAATTTATTTCATCTTTTTAATTTATTTAGTTAAAGCTTTAGTTTTGTATTATTTATTTATTGTTATATACATGTATAAATGGTGCTTTGCATGTAATGTCACCTCTTTGTACATCATGTTGATATTTTATGTAGTTTTATCTTTGGTACCTTGGCATTAATAATAATAATAATAATAAAAAGAGTCAGATTTGTGCCAGGTGCCAGGCGGCGATAATGCCCCAAGGACTAAATGCATCACTATACAAAATAGGTAAACATATTACAGGTAAATGTGCTTTTTGTGGGGTAATAGAAACCGTTGAACATGTAATATTAAAATGTCGGAAATATAATATAGAGAGAATTAAAATGATAAAGAACTTAAAAGGTAATAATAAAGAAAAAAAGAAGATAAATTGGATATTAGGAAAAGGATTAAGAGAAGGTAGTAATCAAAGAATAGTAATGGAATATATAGTAGAAACAGGATTAAATAAACGAATTTGATAGTTAAATAAATAAATAAATCAAAGGAATAGGGCAACACACACCTACGGTGCGGAATACGCCAAAAATTCCAAAGAAGAAGAAGAAGAAGAAGAAACGTTCACATGAGAGCGCAGAAGAAGAGCTCGACTCGGAATCGCATTAGGCGGAAGTGGGTTTTTTTCTCGCTCCTCGTGTCGCTCCTCCTTTCCGCTTGCTCGAGTGCGCCATTCACACACACGCTGCGAAGGTAACGATGAAAAACATGTTTTAAAGCGTTTATACCCCTTCCACTGTCATCAAAGTATGCACATCTGGTTGTTAACAGACTTACGTTCATATTTTAAACCATATATGTCATATGGAGCTCGTCAAAATGATGAATTTGAACGTGTGTAAGCGGTCCCGTGAGTCCGCTGTTTCTCTCAGAAAAGAAAAGACCATGAGCGGATCCACTCTTGTTAACGTTACTTCTGTGGCAGTTTGGTTTCTGTTTTTCAAATAATGTAACAGTTGATTGAATCATGTTAACTGTATTATTGAGGTGCTTTGCCAGAATTTTAAAGTGTTTAGACTTCTTTTTGAATAGTTTGTGGTCATATTCCTAATGTGTTCAACATGAAGACAGATCGTGGTAATCATTTTTTAGATGTCAACACAAATTGTCTATATTGAGCACAATCTTATGCTTTATGTACTGTATTAACTGATCAATATTGCTTTTTTAAATTTAAATTTAGAATACGTTAGGGTTGCATTGTTTCCATTTAAAACAAATATTTTGATATTCTTGTTCTTACTGAATTTATTTAGCATTTCAAACCTAGTTATTTGATTGTTTTGGTCTTGCATCTGTGTGAATACTTTGAGGTTTTTTGGTCTCCCTTATGTACATAAAATTATTTTCTCATTTGCTTTGAAAGATGGCTGAAGATTGGGAGGCTGTACCAGCTGTCGCTGAATCACCAGAGATCAAACTCTTTGGCAAATGGAGCACAGATGATGTGCAGATCAACGACATCTCCCTGCAGGTATGTTTTCATGGACATTATGTTTTGTGAGAATGGCTTTTTATTTGCTAATCGGCCCTGACATATCATATGGAGCTCGTCAAAATGATGAATTTGAACGTGTGTAAGCGGTCCGTGAGTCCGCTGTTTCTCTCAGAAAAGACCATGAGCGGATCCACTCTTGTTAACGTTACTTCTGTGGCAGTTTGGTTTCTGTTTTTCAAATAATGTAACAGTTGATTGAATCATGTTAACTGTATTATTGAGGTGCTTTGCCAGAATTTTAAAGTGTTTAGACTTCTTTTTGAATAGTTTGTGGTCATATTCCTAATGTGTTCAACATGAAGACAGATCGTGGTAATCATTTTTTAGATGTCAACACAAATTGTCTATATTGAGCACAATCTTATGCTTTATGTACTGCATTAACTTATCAATATTGCTTTTTTTAGTTTAATTTTAGAATACGTTAGGGTTGCATTGTTTCCATTTCTCAAGTTCCCAACCAGGTGTCCACTGGGTCAGCTCTGTCTTTCTAGCAAAGCTGTAGGACAGCGGGGTATGTAAATGTAAACTTGTCTTTCAGTCAGTGATAGATGAGTGTACATTTTCCTGTGCTTGATTTAATTTCAAGCTGTGAGAACTTCACATTTCAGTGATCATACTTTGAAGAGCTTATTTTATAAACATTTATTCAAACCTTTGTACATCACTGCATTACTAAAATAAGCACATCTGCATGAAAGCCTTGTGTGAAAATATTGTATTGCAAGAACTGATTATACAACTGCTTATACAAGTGATTATTATGGAGAATACAGGAGACAAATGTGCATGTCTATGCATGTCATTGTGTGTGATTTTCTTTGAACAGGGGACTTTGAGGTCGTCTTGTATGAAAAGAGCTGCGTTCTTCCTGTCCTGTGTGGACTAACAGGAGAGAAGTTTGCCATGGGTTTAAACTTCACTTTCACCAATGACTGCTGTGATACTCTACTCTGCAATGGCGTCTCAAGCAGTTCTGCTTTCATCTTGTCCAGCACCCTGCTCTCACTTCTTCTGACACTGTTTTATTTACAGTAAGCTTAATTAACTATATCAAGAGAGCAGTCAAAATGTAACTCACACACACACACATATTTGTTTTTGTGAATTGTGGGGACATTCCATAGGCGTAATGGTTTTTATACTGTACAAACTGTATGTGCTATTGCCCTACACCAACCCTACAAATAAATATTATTGATGATAATAAATCATCAAAAAAAATTGGGCTTGTTTTTGAAGCAGCGGTTGCTTATTTGTCTTGCGAGAGTTGGCAACAGTGCTTGTCGAAGCTTATTCGCGCGCCGTTGGCTCGAGGAGGCACTTTTGTGTCGACAATTACAGAAGAACAAAAAAACAGCAACAACATATCCTATCCTAGGTGTTCAGCACAGGTAATATCATTCTTTTCGAATTCATACGATTAATCATATGTCTGATTTTTCTCGTTGCGCCTTTCTTTGCTTTTGTTAGTTAACGTTACTCGACGTCAACTTCAGAAACTGGCCTCGTTTCTAACGTTAACTCACGCGTAACCTGTTTATTCACCTCGTATTTTCCTCTGGCTTAATGAGTACGTTAAGGCAAAAAGAAAAAAAAAAACACGCTTTCCTCAACTATCATGAATTGCTTGTACAATGTTTTTGCACAGTGAAATATGTCTGAAGCCAGTAATGTACAAGAACCAGAAAGTAACGCTAGAGCTTTGAGTATAAATGAAGTTGAAGAGGATGAGGGAAACCGTGAGGTAAATTATTGTTTAATAATATCTCAGTTATAAAGTACTTATTGCGTTAGTAACACAGTGGTGTACCTTTTTTTGTTTAATTTTAGATTTTTCTGAGTGTATTTGTTCAACAAGGACAAATTGGACTAAGTTATTATGACAGTTGCGATTATACGCTGCATTTTATGCCGGACACCATGGACAACAGCGACCTCCACCTGCTGGATAGAGGTAGTTTATTAGCTGTAGTTTATTTCTCTCTTTCTGTTGGTCTTTTTTTATATATATAATATATAATATATATATTGGAGCATTTGCATTGAGCCGTGTCTCTCCCACTGCTTGTTTGTTCATATATCTTTTGCTTGCACAGTGTCTGTTGGTTGTCTCTGCCAGAATACTTGACTCGCATGTCAAGCCAAGATGAAGGAAACATTGATTGGAGATGCTTTGATGGCCATTATGTTAGTTTGTTTACCCCATCATGAATTTTCTGTTTCAGTCATACAGGAGCTGAGTCCAAACGTCTTAATAACAAGTGCAAAACAAGAGCAGAGCTTGCTCGAGTTTATCGAAAAGCTTGGTAAACTCTCCAATTTTAAATCATTATTTTTGGTGATCAGCACAGATAATCTCTTGCTCAATTGTTATTTTCGAGTTAATTTCAAACCAATGTCTAACTTTGCTTCAATTTCAGAATTAAATCCTGAATATAAGCCTGAAATAGTCATGTTTCCAAATGCAAACTTTGGTAAGTATTTACACATAGCTTTATTTTATTCTGTATCGCAATTCAGAGGAAATGTTGTTTTGTGAAACACAAAAAGAGAACTTTCGTAGGATGTTCATACTGCACTTTTCCTTACGTTGAAAGTGGATGGGGATGCCAAAAATGGCAAAAAAGCTTTGATCTGTGTAACGTTTATACTTATAAAAAGAAATCATAAGAAGTAGAGGTATTATCAAATACTGCATATGTGTGCATTAAATTTTGCAGCGTTTTACCAGCTTAGTAAAAAACAGTCACGGTAATTGATCCTGTACCATCTTTTGCAGGTCTGGAGATCAGCAGACAGCGACTCCTCTCAGCACACATCCCATCTCTCCCTCCCACCATCACAGAGAGCGAGAAAATCCCGTATCTCTCCTCCTGTATCCCATTAGACTCAGTGCTGATGGTGAGACATCAGATGGTTTATGCTGGATGAATAAATGGGCATATCATGACGATCTTCTCTGCCGTAGATGAGGTCAATAGGAGGGCTGTTGAAGTGTCTGGAGAGGAGGAGAGTTGGCTTAGACATGGAAGACAGCAGTATGGGCGTTCCCATATTGCAGTTTTTGGCTTACACACTGTAAGACATTTGTGTATCAATCACTTTTTTTTTTTTTTTAAGTGAGAATAAAACTCTGGTTTATTTGTTCATTATTTTGCAGGAAAGATGTTGTGTACATCGACAAAGACACATATAGGTTGGTCATATGAACAGGTTCCATCCTTTGTTCCTTTTTCTATAAATTCAACTTTTTGGAGCTGTTAAAACTTGTTTGCACTCTTTCCTCAGTGCCCTCCAGATCTTTAAATCTGAGCTGCATCCTTCCGTCTTTAAGCTCCAGTTAGGAGAGAAAGAAGGATTGAGTCTTTATGGTAAAATGTATTATTCTGTGCACCATTTAAAGTGAATCAAATTGGTATTTTTTGTGTAAGGGTTTTGAAACGGTTGTCCACAAGGGAAAGCTAGGGGATCCATGAAAAAGTTTAGATAAAAATTGTGTAAAAACAAATAAATAATAAAAAAATAAGTTTAAAATCAATAAATGAATAATAAAATTGTATCACAATAAAATATATTTAAAGAAAATAATATAAATAAAAAATCTAAAATCTAAAAGAAGAGTACTATAGTGAATAGAAGAAATGCAATAATAGAAACCTTATATTTTCTAAATAATATTTAGCACATATTTATAATATTAGTTTTCAAAGTTTAAATCAGTAAATTTATATTCTAAATATGCTAAATTACCTGTGAATATTTTAAGAAAATTTTAGGATAGTGGTCCCTTGCACAAAAACATTGAGAACCCCTGTTTTAGTGAGTAGTCAGAAAAGTTGAGAATGGTAATTGTTTAGTGGAAAGTTATAATTTATAAAAATGTTTATTTAAAGGAATAGTTCATCCATTAAAATTAAAGTCTTTTTTTTAAAAATCTTATAATAATGCCCATGCTGATCTTTTGCTTGCAATAAAAGTGAATGGGAATAAATACCCACGTTGTGTTTTCGGCAGGTGTTCTTAATCGATGTCAGAGCAAGTTTGGCTCTCTGCTTTTACGGTAAAATTCCGGTTTTATAACAGATAATTTAGCACATTTAAAATGTGTTTAAGCCCTAACTGGATGAAATATAGACTTCCTTTTTCTCCTCTGTCTCAGGCAGTGGTTCCACAGACCTACTCGAGATCTGAACATCCTGAAGAGGCGTCAGGAAGTGATGCGTTTCTTCACAGCCCCTCGTAACTTTGCTGATCTTAACACTTTACAGAGTTGCCTGCGGAATATCAAGAACATCTCGGTACAGTTTTCAGCATTTTGTCTAAAAATCAACATTGTTTAATCAGAGCCAAATTACAGAACAACAAAAGCCACCCAAATGAATTGACTCTTGTCTTGTCTTTCATACAGACGTTGCTGCATAAAATGTCTCGCTCTAACCCGAAGGTTGCCATCTGGCAAGGCCTATATAAGGTGTGGGCACAATAGTCAGTTAATTAGTTGTTCCTTAAGAGGATTGGCTATCCTGTTTTTTTTTTTTTTTTTTTCTTCACCATGTTTCTCTAATATCAGACAGTGTACATTGTGCATTAGGGACACTGTTCGCTCCATGCCCCAGTGCATCCAACTTTTCAGTGAAATCACTCAAAACTTCTCCGATGATCTTTTCTACATTGCCACATACATCAGTAAAGTGGTGAGACTGAATAATGGACTAAAGCATGTTCCATTTTTTATTGCAATTGATGTTTATGTTAAATTATTACAGACTTAATGTAATTGCCTTGGGTTTGTCATTCTCCATTGCAGGTGGACTTTGAAGGAAGTATAGCTGAGAACCGATTCACTGTTAGGCCGGATGTTGATCCTGTTATTGATGAGAGAGAGTGGTTTTCCATTGATTTCTTCAGTTCTGATGGAATAGTAACTGAAGGTGCACAATATATTGGTGGCTGATATATCATTCACAGATAACTAGGAAAATGAAACTGTTATTTAATTACCCGCCTTATTTTTCAATGTGAAATTAAGTTATTTTCTGTGAATGCGCAAGACTTCAGATTCATATTGCCATTATACATAAAAAAAAAACTTGAAGAATAATAAAGTGCAGTAAACGGTAAAACTATAACCTATCCGGTTTGTGTGTCATCTACATCCCTCTGCTCAGGAAGTGATTAATGCTGCCCTCCATTCATTAAAGTGTGATGTGTTACCTAATTGTTGACACAGAGCTGTTAACATAAAGGTTGCGGGTTCAATTCCTTGTTGGAATGACCCAATAAATGAAGAGTCAGTGAGGTGGCCATTGTGCCCCTGAGCGGGCCACTTGACCCCAGCTTGCTGCAGGATGTCTGTTTTGGTAATAAATAATTGATAATAAATAATATTGATGATAATAAATCATCAAAAAAAATTGGGCTTGTTTTTGAAGCAGCGGTTGCTTATTTGTCTTGCGAGAGTTGGCAACAGTGCTTGTCGCAGCTTATTCGCGCGCCGTTGGCTCGAGGAGGCACTTTTGTGTCGACAATTACAGAAGAACAAAAAAACAGCAACAACATATCCTATCCTAGGTGTTCAGCACAGGTAATATCATTCTTTTCGAATTCATACGATTAATCATATGTCTGATTTTTCTCGTTGCGCCTTTCTTTGCTTTTGTTAGTTAACGTTACTCGACGTCAACTTCAGAAACTGGCCTCGTTTCTAACGTTAACTCACGCGTAACCTGTTTATTCACCTCGTATTTTCCTCTGGCTTAATGAGTACGTTAAGGCAAAAAGAAAAAAAACACGCTTTCCTCAACTATCATGAATTGCTTGTACAATGTTTTTGCACAGTGAAATATGTCTGAAGCCAGTAATGTACAAGAACCAGAAAGTAACGCTAGAGCTTTGAGTATAAATGAAGTTGAAGAGGATGAGGGAAACCGTGAGGTAAATTATTGTTTAATAATATCTCAGTTATAAAGTACTTATTGCGTTAGTAACACAGTGGTGTACCTTTTTTTGTTTAATTTTAGATTTTTCTGAGTGTATTTGTTCAACAAGGACAAATTGGACTAAGTTATTATGACAGTTGCGATTATACGCTGCATTTTATGCCGGACACCATGGACAACAGCGACCTCCACCTGCTGGATAGAGGTAGTTTATTAGCTGTAGTTTATTTCTCTCTTTCTGTTGGTCTTTTTTTATATATATAATATATAATATATATATTGGAGCATTTGCATTGAGCCGTGTCTCTCCCACTGCTTGTTTGTTCATATATCTTTTGCTTGCACAGTGTCTGTTGGTTGTCTCTGCCAGAATACTTGACTCGCATGTCAAGCCAAGATGAAGGAAACATTGATTGGAGATGCTTTGATGGCCATTATGTTAGTTTGTTTACCCCATCATGAATTTTCTGTTTCAGTCATACAGGAGCTGAGTCCAAACGTCTTAATAACAAGTGCAAAACAAGAGCAGAGCTTGCTCGAGTTTATCGAAAAGCTTGGTAAACTCTCCAATTTTAAATCATTATTTTTGGTGATCAGCACAGATAATCTCTTGCTCAATTGTTATTTTCGAGTTAATTTCAAACCAATGTCTAACTTTGCTTCAATTTCAGAATTAAATCCTGAATATAAGCCTGAAATAGTCATGTTTCCAAATGCAAACTTTGGTAAGTATTTACACATAGCTTTATTTTATTCTGTATCGCAATTCAGAGGAAATGTTGTTTTGTGAAACACAAAAAGAGAACTTTCGTAGGATGTTCATACTGCACTTTTCCTTACGTTGAAAGTGGATGGGGATGCCAAAAATGGCAAAAAAGCTTTGATCTGTGTAACGTTTATACTTATAAAAAGAAATCATAAGAAGTAGAGGTATTATCAAATACTGCATATGTGTGCATTAAATTTTGCAGCGTTTTACCAGCTTAGTAAAAAACAGTCACGGTAATTGATCCTGTACCATCTTTTGCAGGTCTGGAGATCAGCAGACAGCGACTCCTCTCAGCACACATCCCATCTCTCCCTCCCACCATCACAGAGAGCGAGAAAATCCCGTATCTCTCCTCCTGTATCCCATTAGACTCAGTGCTGATGGTGAGACATCAGATGGTTTATGCTGGATGAATAAATGGGCATATCATGACGATCTTCTCTGCCGTAGATGAGGTCAATAGGAGGGCTGTTGAAGTGTCTGGAGAGGAGGAGAGTTGGCTTAGACATGGAAGACAGCAGTATGGGCGTTCCCATATTGCAGTTTTTGGCTTACACACTGTAAGACATTTGTGTATCAATCACTTTTTTTTTTTTTTTAAGTGAGAATAAAACTCTGGTTTATTTGTTCATTATTTTGCAGGAAAGATGTTGTGTACATCGACAAAGACACATATAGGTTGGTCATATGAACAGGTTCCATCCTTTGTTCCTTTTTCTATAAATTCAACTTTTTGGAGCTGTTAAAACTTGTTTGCACTCTTTCCTCAGTGCCCTCCAGATCTTTAAATCTGAGCTGCATCCTTCCGTCTTTAAGCTCCAGTTAGGAGAGAAAGAAGGATTGAGTCTTTATGGTAAAATGTATTATTCTGTGCACCATTTAAAGTGAATCAAATTGGTATTTTTTGTGTAAGGGTTTTGAAACGGTTGTCCACAAGGGAAAGCTAGGGGATCCATGAAAAAGTTTAGATAAAAATTGTGTAAAAACAAATAAATAATAAAAAAATAAGTTTAAAATCAATAAATGAATAATAAAATTGTATCACAATAAAATATATTTAAAGAAAATAATATAAATAAAAAATCTAAAATCTAAAAGAAGAGTACTATAGTGAATAGAAGAAATGCAATAATAGAAACCTTATATATATATTTCTAAATAATATTTTGCACATTTTTATAATATTAGTTTTCAAAGTTGAAATCAGTAAATATATGTTCTAAATGTGCTAAATTATACATGAATATTTTCTTCTGGCCTCTAAAACACTGAAATCCCCTGTTTTAGTGGGTAGTCAGAAAAGTTGAGAATGGTCATTGTTTTATGGAAAGTTATAATATATAAAAATCATTATTTAAAGGAATAGCTCACCCAAAAATTAAAATTCTGCCATTATTTACTCATGTCATTTCCAAACCCTCCATTCAAAATGAGAAGAAATCCTGAATAATGCGTATGCTGATTTTTTAATGCAGTAAAAGTGAATGGAGTAAATACCCGCATTGTGATTTTTGCAGGTGTTCTGAATTGCTGTCGGAGCAAGTTTGGCTCTCTGCTTTTACGGTAAAATCCTGGTTTTATAACATAATTTAGCACATTTAAAAGGTGTTTAAGCCCTAACATAGACTTCCTTTTTCTCGTTTGTTTTAGGCAGTGGTTCCACAGACCTACTCGAGATCTGAACATTCTGAAGAAGCGTCAGGAAGTGATCCGTTTCTTCACATCCCCTCGTAACTTTGCTGATCTTAACACTTTGCAGAGTTCCCTGCGGAATATCAAGAACATCTCGGTACAGTTTTCAGCATTTTGTCTAAAGCTCAACATTATTTAATCAGAGCCAAATTACAAAACAACAAAAGCCACACAAATAAAGTGACACTTAGCTTGTCTTTCATACAGACGCTGCTGCATAAAATGTCTCTCGCTAACCCGAAGGTTGTCGTCTGGCAAAGTCTGTATAAGGTACAGCACTCAGTTAATTTATTATTGCCTATCCTGGCTTGTTTTTTTTGTTCATTCATGTTTCTCTTTTATCAGACGGTGTACAATGCATTGTGCATTAGGGACACCATTCGCTCCATGCCCCAGTCCATCCAACTCTTCAGTGAAATCAGTCAAAACTTCTCCGATGATCTTTTCTACATTGCTACATGCATCAGTAAAGTGGTGAGTCTGAATACTATTTTATTTTCTGTTGTTAAATTATTGCTGAATTAATGTAATTGCTTTGGGGTTGTCATTCTCCATTGCAGGTGGACTTTGAAGGAAGTGTAGCTGAGAACCGATTCACTGTCAGGCCGAATGTCGATCCTGTTATTGACGAGAGTGAGTGGTTTTCCATTGATTTCTTCAGTTCTGATGCAACAGTAACTAAAAGTCCACAATATATCGGTGGCTGATACATTATTCGCAGATAACTAGGAAAATGAAACTATTGTTTATTTATCCACCTTATTTTTCAACTTGAAATTAAGTTATTTTCTGTAAATGTACAAGACTTCAGATTAATTTTGCCACTATAAACTAGGTAAATAACTAGAAGAAGAATAAAGTGCATTAAATGGTAAAAGCTATAATAATATTATATAATGCTATAATAATATCATGAAAACAAATAGAATAATTTGAAAAGAAATCTCGCACATTGAAGTTGAAAATGACCACACCCACTCTTACATTAAAAATAGGTGGATAGCTAGAAATTTGTTGGCTCTTCATTTTTATTATATACATTTTTGGTTTATTCTCTTCTTTACAGAGAAAAGAAGGATGATGGGTCTCCCAGATTTCCTGACAGACGTGGCTCGTGCTGAGCTGGAAAAACTGGACCCTCGCTTCTCCACCTGCAGCATAATCTACATCCCTCTGGTCAGGACGGGATTAATGCTGCCCTCCATTCATTAAAGTGTGATGTGTAACCTCATTGTTGACACAGAGCTGTTAACATAAAGGTTGTGGGCTCAATTCCTTGTTGGAGTGACCCAATAAATGAAGAGTCAGTGAGGTGGCCATTGTGCCCCTGAGCAGGCCACTTGACCCCAGCTCGCTCGCGGATGACTGTTTCTGTAATTAGTGCACTGCAGTGTGGCTAAATGACAAGCAGCTGTAACGACTGTGGCATATGGGTTAACAAAAGCAGCAAGCAGTGCTGTTTTATTTAATAGTGCAATAGCTTGCAATTATTCACAGGATTTCAATTTATTGTGACATTTCTGTGCCACCTAACAGAATTCCAAAAATACTGATTGTTTTTCCAAATGGATTTCCTAAACACTTCTAAAATCCTCTTGCTCCATTGATTATGCAAACAGGAAGCCCTTCACTAAACTCGTACCATCGGTTGAGCCATCAGTAGACATTTTGAGCCACTCAAACACACTGCAATGTTGAAAGAGGAGAATCAGCCTTTTAAAGGCTTTCACCTTAAAAGATCTATTTGAAATAACAAAATGAATAGTTGCTAATTGCTAATTGATAACGAGCAGCATCAGTATTTTGCATTTCAAGGCAAAAATTGTTGTAGAACATAAATTCAGATGCCTGTATAAATTTGAATAGCTAGTGCTTACATTTATTTAACTGATGTACATGATGACATCCTTGTATTTCATTCTGTTTTGGATGACAGATTGGATTTTTACTGTCGGTGCCAAGATTACCCACCATGCTGGATAAACAGAGCTTTGAGATGGAGGGTCTTGATTTCATGGTGAGTATGGTAGTACTTTTTAACACAATTTTTTCAAGGCAGCACAGTGTTTGTTTCTTAAAATATTCTTGTTAGGGTTTGTTTTAAACTGGAAACCGCTTATTGTACAGACTTTGTTTCGTAGATAATTTCAGTCTTACTTGTGCTTTTATTTGATTCTTGTCAACTCATTACTGTTTAAGGGTGCTTTCACACCTGGCTCGTTGTTTCGGAACCTGGCGTGTTTCCCCCTTAGCTCGGTTTGTTTAGGGCATATGTGAACATGGCAATCGCGCTCGGATCCGCGCCAAAACAATCGGTCCGAAATCGCCTGAACGAGGTGGTCTCGGCTCGATTGAAAACGAACTCTGGAGCGGTTCAGTTGTAGTGAGAAAGCAATCCGATCTAATGGACCAACGAACCAGGCTATATCACAATGTATAATGGGTAATTACACAAGTTCCGTGAAAAGCATTAGCTTTGTTGTTTTACTAATACTTCAAAATGAACCTGTGAATGTCTGTGGGTGAGCACGTCTTCGCCATTCAAAATAAAAAAGCTTACTTTTTCATTTTATAATGCCGTCTTACTGTTCTTCTTCCTAGTAGGTGCATTTTAAAAATGTTTTCCCAATGAATCCTGGACTCCTGCTCAAAATGATAAATTAATATAAGGACAGCTACAAAAAAACCCAACAATAAGCCCGCCCTGTTTCGGAACAAAGCAATCGATCTACATGTGTGAAAGCACCCTTAGATTATAGTTAGAAAATCTTACCTACATTATTGCATATGGATCAAAGTGCTTCCTTTCAACAGAAAATCTTAATTGAAAAGCATGAAAACTAATATTAATCACAGAAATTTAATGTGCACACATGGAGTACATATCTCAGGCACCTTTGTCTTAGGCTCATTAATGTTTGAGGGGTTGATAAGAGCTGATTTTTGCATTTAATTTGTGGATTATTTCAGTTCCTGTCAAAGGATCAACTGCATTACCGCAGTGCTCGAACCAAAGAGCTGGACAGCATGCTGGGAGACCTGCATTGTGACACCTTGGGTCTTTTTTATTCTTTCTTCAGTTGATTAATAAATTAATTGCACAAAACCTTTACAATGTCTTTTAATACTCTATGTAATCATGTTACTTTTTTTCCCCAGATCTGGAGATGGTGGTAATGAGGAAGCTTCAGGCCTCAGTGCTTCAGCGGAGCGACTGTTTGTATAAGGTCATGTCTCTGTGTGCAGAGCTGGACTGTCTCATTGCTTTGGCTCAGGCTTCTCTGGATCACGGCTACTGCTGTCCAACCCTGACATCAAACCACAGACTGGCCCTGATTGAGTCACGGTACAAATCATCTCTTCTAATGAGATGAATTTTCTGATTTCTCTTCTGTTCATATATTTATCCCTCTTTCTCTTTCAGCCATCCTTTGCTGGAACTGTGTACTCCAGTATTTGTGTCAAACACCTACATCAGCTCTGAAACTGAAGGCAAAGTGAAAGTTATTACAGGACCAAATTCCTCCGGCAAGAGCATCTATCTAAAACAGGCAAACACAGCAATAAACATTACAGACCTCAAACATTACAGACCTTCACATAAAACTGTACGCTGAAGTTATTAATAAATAAATAATAGAAAATTTCACAACAATACTTAAAAAGATGGTATAAATATACCAAGACAATTCACTTATATTACTATGAATGGGAGAAAGTGCAATGTGCAATATAGTGGAATAAGTCCCTTCATTAGAAGCTCCAGTTCCCATAGAAGCAATCAGTGTCCTGAGATGCATGCTTTTAACTCTACATGCACGTCTTACATGAAATAAGGTTTAAAGATAAGAAACAACATTTATGGGTCAGTACATGGCAGATTTTTATTGCTGAATTGAAATGTTATTTAAATGTGAGTTTGGCAAGCAGTTTTTGACATTTTGATATTCTCCTATTCAAATAGATAGAAATTACTATTTCATGCCAGAAATAGCTGCCCGGAGGTGTTACAAATATGACCATTGAGTGAACTGACTTTACTTGAAATGGACTTTTCTTAAAAATTAACTAAAGTCAGGTAGTGCTGGGCGGTATGACCAAAAACTTATATCATGGTGTTTTTCAAAATTATACCGGTTTCACGGTACATGACGGTATTTATTAGTGCTAAAGTGTTGCGCTCGTGTGTGTGAGAGACGCGGGAGCTGATGGCAGGGGGCGGTGGATATTTGTGGCGGTCAATGTGGGTATTGTGGATGAGTTCTTCTGTGTCATCACGTTCTATTAGTTCTACAGCTTCAGTTTCGGAATTTTCACGCTTAGTAACACATACAGCTGTTCCCTCACCACAGTGTAACAGTGAAAAGGGACCCCTTTCAAACAGTGTCTTGTTCCAAACTTTGTTTAAGCGACATATACTGGTATTGCGGTATTTTAAAAATTCATATCATAACAAAAATAAACACCGGTATTCGGTATGAACCGGTATACCGCCCAGCACTAAAGTCAGGGTTCCATGACTCTTGTTTGGTAATAATCCTAAATGTAGGCATTTCATCATTTTCGTAACATCTTGTATGGTCTCTAAAGGTGGGACTGATTGTGTTCATGGCGCTGATTGGCTCAGATGTTCCTGCTAAAGAGGCAGAGATTGGGCTGGTGGATGGAATCTTCAGCCGCATGCATAGCCGTGAGTCTGTATCAGTGGGTCTGAGCACCTTCATGTTAGACTTGAACCAGGTGAGACCATCACACCCTCCTGAACACACAAAGGCCCTGTATACTTTTTTAATTTTGTAACATCCATCTTGGCTCATCCCATTTTGAGTGTCATGTCTCTCATTCATGCTGCTTGAATTGGTTTTGATAACTGTGTTTGCAAGGCAGCCATTCAAAACTGCCACTGATGAGTCATTGAAATATTTACATAGCGAATTGCAATATCATCCTTCAGCTGGTTTCTAATAATTACGATTCCTGTCTAGATAACAAGTTCCTTGAACCACAGCACTGGGGATTCTCTTGTTCTAGTGGATGAGTTTGGTAAAGGAACCAACACTGTAAGTGTAAAGAACCAGGAGGAGCAAACAGGACTTGATAGAAAAGCAAGAATTGAAAAGCATTTCAACTAATATTGCGTGTGTGTTTATGATGCAGGTGGATGGATTGGCTCTCCTGACTGCAAGTCTCAATAACTGGATGCGTCGTGGGCCGCAGTGTCCTCACTTACTTATGTCGACATGCTTCCACAGCCTCATACAGCTGGGCTTGATCTCTGATTCTCCACTGCTGGATTTACTGGTGCCACAGAAACATGCTATGACCAGAAAATACATTTTTCATAGACCATTACCATCACTGTGATTTCAAGACTAAAAAACCAACTTGTGCATTTTTGGTTTTCGTTTGCAGACTCTAGAGACAGCAATAGAGGGAGAAGAGCTGGTGTTTTTGTACCAAGTGAAAAACGGCATCTGCCAGTCGAGTTGTGCGGCTAATATCGCCACTCTGGCCGGCATTCCCGATGACCTGGTCAAGAGAGGAGTGGAGGTATGATACAGTAATTTTTCATATTGAATTCAGATGTGGGATCTTCCTACTTGTTATCTTTTATAAGAAAATGTATCTAACATTCCCTTTCCAAAAACATAAAAACATTTTAAATGCTTTTTCTTGGCTTCATGTGAATTTTAGGGCAAGAAACAGGCAAAAACATTGTTTTTTCATGCACTGGTCAATTTTGAGATTTTGGGTTATTTGGCTTTTCATAACATGTTTTTATAGACTAGCGGAAAGAAACATGCTTAATACACTTTCAAGTGTTTATTTTATTGCACTTTATTTATTTGCATCTGTAGATTTCATTTAAAATACATATCTTCAAAGGCTGTTTCCTCAAAATGTGTTTTTCTCATGCGCTGAGCCAGAAATGTTCAATTCAGTAGCATTTACATAAACCAAACTTGTATTCCTATCTACAGTATATTTTGAAGGTTTTTAAATATATTTGGTTTGTTCCTATCGTCTATGAACTTTCAAAATGTTTGTTTTTTTACTCTGTTATGCAGATGTCCTAGAAATTGTTCCCTGGGAACATGTCCAGTTTTTTTCTTTCAATGTTTTTTCTTGTTTATGCAAACATCCTCTGATTGTTCTCCCAGGAATATTGTGAAATTTGACTCATTGATATATATATATTTTGCTTTTTAAATGAACATTTATCGTTAACTGTGTACCCTTTCTGGGTGTCACCATGTTTATGTAATGTCCTGCATCTCTGAAATAACAGTTGTGGATATCTGCACGAGTTTTCAAGTTCAAAGTCTAACTTTGAATAGCGATCTATCACAGTTATCAGCGTTAAATGTGTGCGTGCTGTTTAGTCAATTTTTGACATTATAGGATTTAATCTCCTAAATATAATCTATGCAGGTGTCAGAGTTATACAGAACAGGAAGAACCATCAGAAAGATGAACAGCCCATCTTCAGATGAACAGTACAGCAGGTATGGGATGGTCTGAACAGAGAAACTATTATTCTTAAATTCTCTCCTCCTTCTACTTAAAATATATTTCCTGATTCAGGTGTGTTGAGGTGGTGGAGAAATTCCTCAGTATTGATCTGGATGACCCTGAGCTGGATCCCGATTCTTACTTGAAAGATGAGGTGCTCCCAACACTTGAAGAGGTGCTGTGATAACATCGAAACTGTACTGTGGGACTGTGGGTTCATTTTGTGGGAATTTAGGAGAAATTAATTTTAATTTCAAGGTTTCAACGTTCACAAATGCAAACATTTAAACCTGATGTTTTGAATTATATTATGCTTGCTTGTGTTCCGAAAGGGAAATTGAATTGTTGTTGTGTGATTCAATAAAAGAATCAGTTCGTAATATAAATTTGCTCATGATTTGAACATAATAGTCATGCTATATGTTTGTTTTTGCAGCGTTTAGCATTACTTTGTTGTAAACAGGCTTTTTTTATTTTATTTCATCACCTATTCACAGGAGCACTGCCACAGAATGGTGGTGCAGAAAACACAGTAATTATTAACTCTCTAGGGGGCTGACTTGATTTCAGAGGACTGTTAATGAGTTTCCTCAAGTAATCAGTTGTCACAGCATTAGAAAGAAACAACAACTTGCTCAGAGTTTATCAAATCAATTAAGTTCTCGAGCCATCTGTCGCAAGAGATCCAAAAAAAGATCTGCTCTGGTAGGATTACCTTCTGTGTGGGAAACCGAGCAGATAGAGAACGCCCACCACAAAGACCTTAAATAACATCCACATAATTGATTGCAGAATCAAAAGCACTCAGTAGAGTGAAGTAGACCAGGCTTGTCAAAGGTAAAAAAAAAAATAGGGATAGTTACTTGCTAGATTATTATATATATATACTATTATAGTATTTATTCATGTTTTGACTTTTGTATTTGATCTATATTTAGTTTTAATTTAAATGTAATTGTAGTTTTTTATATAGCTTTATTTTTATTTCAGTTACAGTTTTAGCAATTTTACTACTTCAACTAAAATATATTTATACAGTAATTTTCGATTAGGTTTTTTTTTCAGTTACGTTTTTCATGCAATATTTGTATTTTATATCAGCTTTATTTCAATTATGACTATTTTTTTTGTTTTAGTTAACAGTAACACCACTGTAGATTAGTGACACTTAATGCTACAACAGACTTGAGAGGTGTGAATTTAACCAATCTAACAAGTGCAAAATCCAGATAACTGTCAGATTTGGCTACAAAAGTTGTGTGTTAGAGAGTCTACTACGGTGTATTTGTCACTTTCAGCCCTGGATAATTTGTACAAATTAATTCAAGCCATCTATTCAGCTTTCTGAGGTCTACTCAACTATGCTTAGGAGCGGTGCTATTGTGATGAGATATGTGCTGAAGTTAATGAAATGCATCTACATCCACAAGTAATAGTTGTTATGCCATAATGAATTCATATACTGTCTGCTTGTGCCGTTAACCGTGTTGAGGAAACAAATGATTGTAATGGTTGTGCACGGACAGAGCCTTCATTGTAGCTGCAATAAGTGCTATTATTTTGCCATAATGACAAAGCATGTGCATCGGCTAAGTCAGCAAAACTGACACCATTAATTTAAATCACTAAATATATCTGTGATGATGTAGCTCATTTTATACAACAGCTGATTGGGATCTCTTAGATACTTCATATGGATCGAAAACAATACCAAAAAACAACATCCATAATGAATAACAAGATATTTGGATGTTTATAGTATAAAAATAGAGAAACACTTATGAATGCACTGCTCTCACAGTGTTTTGGGCATATTGCTGCACAGTTGAGTAAAATTGTCTGTCAGGTAATTTGAAAAAGTCTTTTGTGTGCTGACATTTAGATTAAATTTTTATTCAAATCAAAAATATAATTTAATGTGACTGAATCAACCTAAATTACACCAGCAAAAGTGTTAAGTCAGATAGCTTGCTAAGATACAAATGTTGTTGGTTTTTTTTGGCTCCGCAATTATTAAGAATGCAAAACTTTAAGTAGGGTATAGCTGTTGCAATATATATCATAATATATAGACAGATTTTAGCAACCTTTCAGTCTGCCTGCAAAAAGAGTGAAATGTCTGTAAAAACATTTTCAGCTCTGTATCATCTGCTTTTACTGGAAAAAAGAGACTGCCCAAAATAAGACATAATGTCTCTTGTCCATCACAACGTGACCCAAAAGTGCAGTTCATTTGACATTTGGATGATGTTATAAATGCTTTTTATATTTGTGTCAGATTTGTACACAGTAAGCTTCCCACTTTTCATTAAAAGCCATTTCAAAAGGTACTTTTGTTGACATTAATGGTCCATCACACGATTACTGCTATTCTGGAACAACAATTAAGTATTTCTGTTGTAATTTAAGGTGGATACTTGTCAAGTCAGAGCTCTTCATTTTTGCCACTTACTGTCAGTTTGTGAAGGGAGAAAATGACATTTGACATTTGCCGAGGCAGATGATGAAAGGGTCAGTCAGTCACTCAGGATTTAGTGTCTTGCTGAAGAACACGTAAGTGCTGGGGGTTTGACAGAATAAGATAAAGTCAGCATTTAAAGGGTTTTTTGAATGCTTCCTTCTTTCTTAATACTTTTTTTTTTTTCACCAGAACATTTCAAAATAGTGATCTGATTTATTTGCTAGCAAAAAAGAAAGCTTTGAGTTGAAAACAATCTTATGATAATGCTGTATTGACATTGAAGTACTCAGTAATGCAAATTAACTACATATTACGCATAACTGACAAGAGTAAATCATTCCCACAGAGTTTTATGAGGTCAGTGTCAAACACCATGATAATCCCTCAGTTCTGTCAGGACCACAGATGATTGACAATTAGCATACAGTTTGGATTGGCGGTATGGTTCTGTTCTGGGCAAGAAGGGCAAGAACCTCCATGCAGCCTAGCATGGATGAGAGCAGGGAGAGCAGCAATAACCCCCCAGGGTAAACAGAACAGAACTAACATAAATGTATTGCAGATATTGTTAAAGTTCAATCATTTTATGTACACATTTTAGAATTAGTCTGATTCAAGGAGAATCAGAAGGCTGAATCCCGACTGACAGAGGAGGAGTTGGGGATGGAGGAGGGTAATTAGCTATTGAGCAATGCGAAAACTGCTGATAATACTGAGGGACCTTATATATGAATGCTTAGATAGGTGTCGTAGTCCCATAGGTAGATGGGGATCAGCTGAAGGTCAGCTGATGCGAGCTTGACTAACGTGACCTGCCAGAACTAACGCTACGCTTGATATCTCTTGTTGGACTCGGTAAGCAATTGTTTGGCATGCTTTGCACCTTTTAATGAAGCCCCATCAGATAAGCTCTCAGTCCGTCACTTTACATGCATCAATCCTGATCCCATTTTGTCCTTATGCATTAATCTCTCTAACTTGAAGTATAAAAACCACCGCTGCGATGCAGCAAGCCACAGAAGAGTTTGACTCTTGTGGTCACTGGCCAATATAAGCACTTCTTAGTAAATCTGGCACTTGCAGGGATGATCATGGTCTGCTTTGGCTTCACCTTTACTACAGCTTTGAACAGCCACTTCATCCTTTGACCAAATGTGATGCACGTTGAAGGTTTTATGGTGACACTTGTGAGTTGGTTGCTGCAACCCTTTTAGAGGTAAAAACCATCTCATATGACTATCAAGCCATGTCTTCAGTTGATTTATAATGTTAAAGTCTTGAATTTGTCCAATTCTCTCCTAGGATTAAAGTAACACTGGTCGCTTATAGCTACTGGCCACTGAAAGAAGATATGTGGTCTGTAAGTCCATGAGGAGCTTCAAATTAACTGCATGACATCCTTTGAATGGAGTTGACTTGGTTGGCCATGACTTGTATCACTGCATTTTCTGGCTGGTAGGTGAGCATCTTTTCATTTCAAACTTCTTTATTTTTTTCTTGGTTATGTAAGTGAGGTCTAGAAGATAAAAATGTAATGCAGCCTAGTGGTTAAAGTTTTGGGCTAGTCATTGAAAAGTCGAATGTTTATTAAAGGGGTCATATGATGCGATTTCAAGTTTTCCTTTCTCTTTGGAGTGTTACAAGCTCTTGGTGCGATCAAAAAAGACACTTAACCTCCTGTTGCTCTAGATATGTCCATGATGTATGCTGTGGGTTACTTTGGAGAAAAGCATCTGCTAAATGGCTGCTTGCTAAATGAGTGTTTTCTGAAGAAGCGTTTTTATGGATTATGGACTGGCATTTATTGGCCAGAATTGAAAGTTTAAAGTTAAAACCTCTTAATGATGAATTTGTTTCTTAAAAACAGGCAGCTTTCCACTTCACAAAATGTTAATTGATGGACTGGAGTCGTGTGGATTATTGTGATGTTTTTATCAGCTGTTTGGACTCTCATTCTGACGGCACCCATTCACTGATCCATTGGTGAGCAAGAGATGTAATGCTATTCAAATCTGTTCCGATGAAGAAACAAAATAAAGCAATAAGGGGCTTATTGCTTTTATAAAACGGTTATTCCATATACGTAGTAAGGTTTTACAGAATAAAACAGAGCAAATAAAGTGTAATAATGTAAATAAAAACAGTATTCTTCCACCAAACAATGTAGTTCCTCAGAAACAGTTGTGGTTCCAACAAAGTGGTTGCCGAGCAACACAGGAGTAAACAACGCGGCTCAACCAATCAGAATCAAGGACCGGAACTATCCGTTTTATAATATGAATTTTTCACAGTTATATAAGCTTGGGGCTTATTGCTTTAGTTTAACCCTGTTAGGGGCTTATTGCTTTTATAAAACGGTTATTCCATATACGTAGTAAGGTTTTACAGAATAAAACAGAGCAAATAAAGTGTAATAATGTAAATAAAAACAGTATTCTTCCACCAAACAATGTAGTTCCTCAGAAACAGTTGTGGTTCCAACAAAGTGGTTGCCGAGCAACACACAGAAGTAAACAAAGGTGTATGTTTGTAGTGTAATTTACAACAGCTTCGAACGCCTCAACCAATCAGAATCAAGGACCGGAACTATCCGTTTTATAACCATTTTTAGCAAATCTTTCTTTTCCTTGTGTATTGGTGCTGATTGTCTCTTCATATCTCTTCTTACAGGTGCATTTCTGAAATTCTGCAGTGCTTATGTGGACCATATTACTACACACTCA